ATACTTGGTGGTAATGACCCTCTTCAAATCAATGGTGAAAATTACATTAGTAATGGTCCCTTTAAATCAAGGATGGAAATTACATATAGCACTGGCTCATTCAGACCAGTTTGAAATTCTATAAAATTTCTTAAATGTTTTATTTAATCTTTATTTTAGTAACATCAAAACACATTGGGTTACTTGTATATATCAAATGGTTCTTTTATCCACATCTTCCTACATGGCTACCTAAGGGAGTTTGGAAGCTATGACTGCCGTTTAATGTCTTGAGGAACCCTATATAATGTTGTTAAAATTTGTATAGTTATCTTAATTTAGTGTTGACATCATTATGGGATTGCATGGTTATTTTCGACTCACTGAAGACAGCTACACACAACTTATTTCTTCCCCACCTGATGCACATGTTTGGAAAACTAAGCTAGCAAAGTTTATGGTACAACTAGTTTTATTGTCTGAAAAACTCTGAAATCATTGTAGACCTATGATCAGCACATTTGTATTGTTTTGGTTAATCATACAAAAATGTACTAATTTGTTGTGTCTGAGATTAGTCCTCAAAAAAAAACCTTAAGATTAGGGCAACACAAAAAGTACCAGGGTCATGCAATTATCCAGCAGTTTTAATTTGAAGTCATCAAGGCCTCGAAAAAAACTTATCCTTTCCACCACCGAGGGCAGTAGACTATTTGATAGTGACCGAAATGAGTTGTTCACAAGATTGTAGAATCTTGGTCATACTTGCTGTGCATAAGGTTTATCATATGCTAAGTAAATGATGCAAAAGTCAGACTGGAGAGGGAGAGGGAGAGGGAGAGGGAGAGGGAGAGGGAGGGAGAGGTTGAATTTCTACAACAAGACTCATGTATTCACCTTTTTATTTAACATTCATTTCCAATACATAAATTTTTGCAATCCTAAATTTTGATTTTTTTTTTACTGAAACATGTTTTGTCTATAATTGTAACTCATTTCCTATGAGGGAAGAGACTAATGAACATAATAGTTTAAAAAAAAAAACTATCCTAGTCTTACGGCGACTATAAAAATATTTTCCTAGAATTAATCTAGTCACCACTCATTTTACCTGAATACTCATTCCTACTACAGTGTATAAATACTTGATTAGACCCCATAAAAAACCAAAACCAAAATTGTTGTTGACAATGTTTGATCACGTTTTAAATAACAATGTAAAAATTTACATGCTCCATTTTATTCTGATTAACCAAACTGAAAAAAAAAATAGATATCACAAAATAATTGTTATAAATAATGATGAAAAAATTCCAATTTGACACATTGCCAGCTGAAAGTCTCCACAGGTAATGGGAAAATGAATTGGAAAAAATGGTGTCAGTAGGCAATGTGTTTACTAATAGTACAGATGGAATTTTAAAAAATCATTGAAATATAAGTTGTTTTTTTCTTTCATTCTTTCTGAGCACATAAAAAAGCTTCTGAAAGTTGTGGGAACTAGGAAAAGTTAAAGCGCTAACATAAATGATAAATATAAAAATGGTGTTGATAGCATCTGGTTGATATGGTCCATGCTAAATCGCATAAAGTGTATATTATTTACTGTGACCACTATATTGAAGTATAGTACACAGTGTTTTGTTTTGTTTATGATAATATAGCTATATTGCTCACAATATATTATTGCTTACTGTGGCAACACTCTTTTGAGACACAGAGTCTCACACTGCAATATTGCCATTCCATTTTTCTTTCAGTCACAGTAAACCATACTTGAACAGCAGTAGCAGGTAATAAAAAAAATATTTCAAAATAACCATGCAAATAACCAAATTGTTCAATGATGAAAACTCCATTTTGAATATTAGGTACCGTATTCACTCTATTAGTAGTGTATGTGCTCAGATGATGACAGAGGCGAGTCTATGGTTATAAATTTCAATAATTTAGTTTTCAACAAATATAACAATTGATTTACATGCACTTCTAAAAGAGAAAACACAGTACTTTAGCAATTTAAAGATATTAAAGTGAAGACCAAAAACTTAATGAACTATCATATCAGTCTTGTTGAAATTAATAGACAACTGAATTGGTGAGGACGGTACTACCCTTCATCATTGCATGAAACAGTCATGCAATACTGCATATTCTATTCTGCCTTTGTTTACAAAGTTAAGCTGCAGTTTTGAATTTATAAATATTTAGGTTTATAAATAAATTTAAAACCATACATAGGTTTGTGGTCTCCACCAGAAGTCTTGGCGATATAAAATGAACAGCTAGACACAATTCAGCAGAATTAAGTTTTAATTGTTCCAGTATTTTGCAAAGCAAATCGATTAGTTAAAGAGCGGTGGTTGTGGTATTAAAAGCTTAAATTTTGTGAAAACAATGCATTTACACGTATCACATATGTCACATGGGACGTAGATCAAACTTGACATGCCATGACATAGTGACCCTGCATGCTAAGCTGAAAAAATCATGTAATTTGGTAGCATTGAAAATTTCTTCATGGGTCCTACAAATGTCAGTTACTTTTGCGTAATGTCTTTATGAAAACAATAAAATCATTAAATAGCCAAAATTCTTAGTTAAAATTAAGCGATTTACAGTATTAACTCAAAATATTAATCGATATAAAGTTTCTGATTGAATCAAATTATTGGAAAAACAATCATTGGACAAATTACGAATAATTATACAACCTTATTGCTGGAAGAACACAAAGAAAGGAATACACTTGTAAATGAACAAATTTTCCCTTGCACAACAATAGAGGGCACTGTCTACAGGGGTCACCATATTTAATGCTGGGATTAGAAAAAAACGAATGCAGGACTTACATGTAGTTGAATGTACTACAATGGCAGTGAGCACTGAATTTAATTTACCATCGCATATCAATCAG